TTGATATCCATCAATGAACTCCTAACAACAAAAGCCCTATCTTGTATGTACACAAACGCCCAAGACCTTCTAAGCAAGTTGACCAAACTTAGAGAACTCCATGCCTTACCACCGAGGAACCTCTTTAGGATTACAGAGGCATGGTTAAGACCTGAGATAATTTATTCTGAGATCAATTTACCCAGTAAGTCGCTATTTCGGACCGATAGAACCGGAAGGAGTGGCGGTGTGATTCTTTACTATAATACAACCCTCCGATGTGAAGTTGTCGATCACCCGAAAATTCGAGCTCCTAATTCGCTTTGGTGTTGCCTGTGTTTGCGAAACAAGGACACACGTCTACTAGCCGTTATTTATTGCCCACCAAACTCAACGTCGGAAATGGACTCCAAACTGAACATACGTTTTTCAGTTTGCTTTGAACAAGTCCTACACCCACATTCTTAACGCTGGAGACTTTAACCTGCACGACATAGAAACGCCGGCAACCGAGGGTAAGCAGTTCAAATCCCGCTTGCAATAGCTTATTGCTAGCCACCCTCTTTACAACCAAGTAACCTCTCCCACTAGATTTGAAACTGCTAACAAGACGTCGATACTGGATCATGTGCTAACAAAGAACTCACGGTTGACGGGATAGTTACAAGCACACCACTGGGTCGTAGTGCTCATGTTACTCTACTCTTTGACTATATATGTTATGCGGAATGCCCCGAAAAGGAGGAGGATAACATGCATACTGTCACACACTACAATGTGTTGTCTAAGCTTGTTAAAGATACATCTTGAACTTTTTTAACCGAATTCCCCCCAGATGTTGCCTGGGAAACATTTACAAGGACGTTTAGCACACTGGTAGCGCTCGCTTCAGTACAGAAGTCCTTCCAACCCAAAAACAAGCGGAAGTCATTTCTGAGGAACAGAACACGTAAATGTATGTCCCAGAGGGATTTGGCATGACGAGATCACTACGACTGCTTGAATACCGAAACCTGGACTGCATTCGTGACACATCGTAACTGCTGTGTGAAACTGATCCGCCAGGACTAGGTCATTCATCAGCAGAAGTTAATGAAGCGATTCTGCACTAATTGCAAACTCCTGTACAGGCACGTTAACGGCCTTCGAAAGGTGAAGCGGGGGTTCCAGCGCTACTCACGGCTGATGGGTGCACGCGATCAGCAATGGAAGCAGCTGATCTCCTACGGCTTCGTTACTCCAAATCTTTTCAGTGGGTAACGAGCCCAAATATTCTCCTCATTTCTAATACCCCACCATCGGGTTTAGAAAACATCACCTTTACTGCGGAAGCTGTGTTGAAGTTGTTATCCTTGCGTATCCAACTACCGTCCAATAACACTACTTCCCGTACTATCCAAAGTGATGGAATCAATCATCGCAGGTCCGCTGATGCAATACCTGGAAAGCCACAATTTAATAGCCCCAGAGCAACATGACTCTCCTCAAAAGCATTCATGTAATACTAACCTGTTAATTGCACGTAATAGCTGGACAGAAGCGGTTGATGATGGAGTAGGAGTCGATGTCATCTATCTGGACTTCTCAAAAGCGTTTGCTCGCTTAGACCATCGCACTCTCCTTCAGAAACTTTGGAATTAAGGCATTGGCGACCCAATCCTGAGTTGGATTGGCAATTTTCTACAAGAACGACGGCTAGTAGTGAGAGTACGAGAATCATCGTCTGACGTAATCGATGTGGTATGTGGAGTACCACAAGGTTTGGTTCTTGGACGTCGTCTATTCTTGGTGTTCATTAACGATTTGGCGAGATCAATTACTTCCGATTTCCTATTTTTCGCTGATGATATCAAGATATGGCGAAGGATCAGATGACCGGAAGACCACGAACGGGTCCAGGGCGATCTTACCACGGTGTCTAACTGGTCAGTTCAAAACGCCCTACCATTCAACGTAGGCAAATGTCGCGTTGTACAATTACGCCATAGACATAAATATACCTATTTATTTGGGAAAAACGGATTGTAGAATAGCTCCCAGGAAGGTGACCTTGGTGTGACCGTACAGAGCGACCTCAACTGTTCAAAACAGGCTGAGGTATCTATAAAAAGAGGCAACCTGCACGTCAGCATGTTGCGAAGGGCATTCGGAAAATTTGGCCCATCAACCTTGCCAATGATGCACAATTCCTACATGCGCCAGCATGTTGAATACGCTATCCAAGCTTGTCAACCTTGGTTGAAGCGCGATCTAGAAGTATTAGAGGCACCACAACGAAGAGCAACAAAGAATTTTCAGCGGACGCTAGCGAATGCTGCGTGGCGATCTCATATTAGCGTATCAGATACTGAGTGACCTCAACCAGGCCTGCCGCCATTTGCTGAAACTTGGCCACAAAACGCAGCTCAGGGGTAACTGCTTAAAGTTGAAGGAACAATATAGCCGTCTATTGTATCGACGGAATTAGTTTTCCCTTCGGGTTTGCCAACCCTGGAACGCACTCCCAGACTCAGTTGTATCCTCTCCTAGCTTGGACATTTTCAAAAAACGATTAGAGGTTGCTTTTATTTTCAAGCGTTTTGTTACCTAAACTCCTCTACTGTGGATTACGCCAAGCATGCTTTTCAACAGGAATTATGCATCAAATGGACCTAAGTGAGTGACTATATTTTACTTTTCTCACTCTTCACCTCAGCGATCATTGCACCCCAGTGTCTTTCTGAACCTTTACGCTCGATAGTTTTTACTGTTACGCTGATGTTAATTATCAAATTATTCATCTCGGCAGACGTTCGATAGATGACCCAGATATATTTTGATTTCATCATATTCACCTCAACCGTCCTACGGGAAGTGTCAAGCACTTGCTTTTATTCCGGGATAAATCATTGTTCATTGTTCATTATTACGACTGATATCTAACTGCGATATAGGCCAGCTTATCCCCCACTGTCATGCATGTTATGAACGTAGAGAGGACAAGATTGGCCCCATAGCAACAACTTCCTTTGCAAGCCCCCACCAATCGAGCTGGCATGTAATCCGCTAAGGCGACTAATGTTTAGTTATAAATCACGGCGGTGCCCTGCCGTTGCCATCGGCTCAGTGGCATAAGTCGCTGGTTCGCATAGTAAGGTCGTGAGTTCTAATCCGACAGGATTCGGTGGGTGCGCGCTGCTGATGAGTCCAAATAGGACGAAACGGCCGTCTAGCGCTTTCCTGGACGGCTGGTGACGATCTGCTTGCGCCTAACTGCGACGAAACTTCCAAATTCAAATACTCCCCCTACTACTTATAAACGGATCATACTTGTTTAACTAAACAGAACTGAAAAGGAAGACAAAGCCTTAGGTACCTCTTTAATATATGTCGTCTCAATAACTAAAATTCCTATCGTTTAGGTTCCTACCAAGGTAATTCACTGTTTTCAATATGTGTGAGTGCTGAGACAGACTGGTTGCAACAAGTGTTGAAATTTAAACCAAGAGAAGGCAGACCCGCTGATGGTCGCATGCAGTAAACGACTGACGCGTTGAATAGTACAGTCCGAGAAAGGACAAAACACCGAACCAGAGTTTAAGATGACGAGTGAAAAATATTTCAAATTAACAAAAATTCTATTGCTCCGGAAACAACATGCGCTTGTAACGCTTCCTTGCACTACTGCCAGATGTGCTCAGGAGTCACAATTAAGGTTGCCTTTGAATCGACGCGGAGGTAAGAAGGGACCGAAAATATAGAATAATTAGGAATGCCGAAAACAAAAGTGACATCAAATGTTTCTCTGATAGGAGGTTGATGGAGGAAGAAAGTCGCGTAACACATGCGGCCCGCAACGCAAATTAGAGAAAATCAATAACAGCAAGTAACGGACATGATTCCGCTCAATGTCATTCCGCTACTTACCTGGAGGCACACAGTTTGAACATGCATGGAAAGTAGGCAAAAGTTGACCACGGTACCGTCAGAGGAAGAGGATTAGATTGACGACATTTCCCCCGTCAGTTCTGTTGAAGGGAAAATTAAAGTGATGGAGCAGAGATTGGCCAGATGTTTCTTAACCGGTTTACAATGAAGATGAGCAGAAAGATATAGATTTGCTCTCAAGTTATGGGCATCTCGATTTAAAGTATGTGTGACGGTGGCTGAGATCTGGGGCGAATAGAACCGTTGCGACGGCGATGGATCGGCAGTCATTCGGACGTCACCGACGAGAGATGAGCGCGCACGACAGTTCCGGCCCATCGCAAGGGAGAAGACGTGTCTACGGCAGCAGAGAAACGGATTGGTCCGCAGTGTGTTGAGCAGACGTCATACGCATGAGTCTTAATCCACTGACTTGCCTTATATGAATGAATGTAGGGCTAACAAAAAACAGCCACATAGCGTAGTCCAATGAAGCACGGATGCCTGCAGACTATCGCATCCCAGTGAAGTCAAATCAGATCACACTGTGCCGAAACAACAAGCCGGTCGATTCACTTTCGCTTTAGACCACGCAGTTACAGAAGGCGAAAAACGATAACCACATTGTATTACAGTTTAGAAGATGATGTCCTGCGGTAGATATGGAAGGCAGCGTTGATGTTAAGCGGTAGCTATCTACGTGATAGTCACAGTAGTCCCTATACCCGTGGATGCGGTGAAATGAGCAAACTTAGTCTTTTATGTAGCTTCGCCAAGGAATTGAGTTGGGAGATTGACGTCGCTATAACCTAAGCAGTCAACTTCGAATTGCTCAAGATGGACTGAGAAAGTACTGTTCAAAAACACAGGAATCTATGTGGGAAAATAAGCGTTTTGCAGCATTATTATGGAATCAAGGCGCAAGACTTCTGATGAACTACTGTTGCTGCAAGATTAAACCAACATGATACCGTGTCAGTGACCGACTAATCAAGAGAACAGTGAGACTGCGTCACTTTTCAGTTCATGGGATTCGTCGAAAAGCACAAATATCTGTGAAGATAAGCCGAAGAATTCGGTGTAATGGCCTAGATACAGGACTTGTCATATGGAGCTCAGCTCATGTTGGCATAAAAATTTCGCCAAGTGGGATAACCAAGAGAACAAGTTCCAGTCAGAGTGATGGGCGATAAATTGTTCAAGTGATCTTGTTGACAGAACATCTAAGATAATAGGACAAACGCTAGCGATGACTTACTTTACTGCAGCACGGAGGACAGATGCAACCATATTTACCCGGGAGAGGAGAGAACTTTTCAGGTTCATACTGGACACAAGCCGCGTGCTGGTACGGCCCATCACAGCGAGTACATTTTACTAAGTCGAATCCACGCGTCGCGTCCACATTGCCACACGAACGCAACACGAAGCCATCGGGATCGGCGTCGATCATGGGTGGAGTAGGGGCATCATCCATCTCATTACAGGCGGGTAATGGGTGTCCATCGAGTGTTCTGATCAAGCCCACATCAGTCGACCATCCGATCCATGGACGGGTAGCAATCAGGGCAATTACTTCCAAAGTTTTACCCAAACCCATTTCATCTGCTAAAATGCCTCCCACACATGGGCTAGTAAAAATCGGTTTTCTGTGCATAATTCTAGTGTGAAAGTGGAAAGCATGGGAGTAAGCGTGGAAATGCGGAAGGGCAAGGAAAGTGGACAGTCATGACGAAATTGTGGAAGAGTACATACTATATAAACGGATGAGAAAACGACGCGTTTGTCGAAGGTATCGGAACTGTCATACTGAAGGATGAGGCATGCCAGAAAGAGCACGGGAATTTGGAACGATAACCAAATTGATACGTAATGGGATACAAAGAACCGAATAAGCGAAGACGTGTGACATTATTTATGGCCAATGCGTGAAGAAGGCAGAGGAAATAGAGACATAGAGTAGTTAGAACACGTAAGCCATTCCAACAAGTGGTGTACAGCAACACAAATAAACGCGACCGCATTGCATTAGGGCAAGTGCAAAGAGTACTCCCTAAACGCATTTTAGGTGCAACATCAAATTCAGAATATTTGGAACGTGCTGAAAAAAGTAAGCTTGATTCCCTCTGGCTAAGGTGCATGAAGCACAACGCAGTCATATTCTTTAGTGAGTTGAACTAGAAAAATGCATGTTCCCAACCTTAATATGGGACCAGTAAATTCAGCCAAACAGAACACACGGTCTCAACTGGACTTGTGGCAAAGTAAAGTGGAAGATTGGAAAGCCAAACTGGATGTTGTGCAAACCAAACTACACAAACTTTATTTTAAGCAGAAAATCAGCAATGCATTAGCAAGGAATGAGAAGTAAGCCGGCTGGCCCATGTTCAGGCAACGATTCAGTCAGACTAATGTAGCAGGCGTTAGTTCAAGACATTCTCAAGTCAAGTCAAGAATGTGCTTTATGCACTCGTGAAAGGTGAACAATTAGTATGAAGGGCGTTCACCTCGATCAAAGGCGGTGACCCAGATTTCACTTCTTCCTATCGACCTTCACATGTTGTGTGAGTAGAAACCTTGCAGCTGCGCGATTATCGGTACAGTGTAGGCTGTTATGGACTCCACGGAACATTGCTTAGTTTTATTAGCCTACTGCTGCATGAAACGACCTAAATGAGCGACGAACGACGAGAAAACGTATTTCCGAGGCAGCGGCGGTGCAAACGAACGTCACTGACTCAGGAATATATGGTACCAAGCTTGTGTTGATTGACGACAAAAACACATACGAAGCTGCTGAAGTTTCCCGTGCCAATGAGAGCATGGCAAGAAGATACCGTTACCCAGCGAAGCTGTGTAGGAAACAGCGGAGGGAAGCTGACAGCCGATGTGCTGCAGCTGGTCGAAGGGACTGATGAACGGCATTCGGATGAAACTTTGGTGCATATACAGCAGTGCCTGAAAGAAAACGAGATTCATCTTTCCATATCTACGTTCTTCAACATTCTCAGAAGTGCCATTTGAAGCCCATCCCTGCTAGTGACAACTGAGGTGGTCAGTGCATTTCGTCAAAAGCTTGCCCACACTTTCCAAATTAACACAGCTTACTCGGCCCGTTGGATTAAGCCGCACGTCCTTCAGTGTAGCAGCTATGATGAAATTCCACAGTATTTGCGCCTACACAGCTCTCCTGGTGTGGGCAGCATAAGATCGAATGTAAAAAGCACAGCCACTATGAACACCGCCGAACCGTTAGCTCGATTCGTTCAGCGTAGTCTTGAGGAAATACATTTTCACACAATGTATAAGCCGGGAAACAGTCACTCGTGTTTACAAGAGTGGCAACCTTTCGGAACCCCGAATTACCGTGCAGTCACCCTCCTCCAAGTTATACCGAAATTTATGGAGGCTATTCTCGGAGTTGCGTAGATGGAGCACCTTGGAAGCAACACGATCAAGTTGTCTCAGCTGTACCGATTCGTCTGAACTCCGCCCCGCTTCGCACTGAGACTTGACCTTACGGTGATGCGATGGTTTGGGTGCTTCAGCGATCCATTGGGCTATGCTGGGTGGTGCTATTTGCACCTTAAGAACCACTCATACCAGACTGGTCAATGGTTAGAGGCCAGACGAACTCAGCCCTCTGGTCCTCCACGTTGGTGGTTAGAATGAGGGTGGCTCCTTATTCTTTAAAACGGACTCCTTGTAGCCCAACGCCAAGCCCATTGTCTTGCGGTTTGACTTTTGAACCAAAGGCTTTGGTTGAGAACCCTAATGGTTCTCCTGTCTAGGCCTGGGCAACCTGACAGTATCCTGCCCACGAAATGCAATGAATTTCTCTTCACACAGTTTTTTGATGCTCTGCCCACCGCAGAGGATAATCCACGGTGCCATATCTGCTGCATCGAGCAGAGTGAGTAGGGGGTTGTTTGCTACTGTTCAGGCTTTTCCGTCTTCTCATTCCTCCTCTTACACATTTTCTCGCTTACCGTCCCGTTCCCGCTTTACTTTTATCCCCTTGTTTTCAACCCAATTCCTGGCCCCCACTACCTTGCTTTGCTAGGCTTTTACCTTCTAGTTTCAACGCACACGCGAACGCGGAGAGTCATTCCTGTTCTGTCGACAAGCCCATGTCTAACCAAGCGGTCCAGTCCAGTTAATCGGCTTCCATTTGGAGCCCTCGATCATTCTGCATATTGGCATGCCTCGATGTACACATTGCTACAAACCGGTCAACAGGCTGCACTTGCCTGGACATTAGAGACCCTCTCGATCGATGTCTGTTGCTTATCGGAGACCCGTCTGCAAGACTCGACCGTCGTGCTCAATCTGCGATCTCCTTCAAGTGATACCAGCAGCACTTTCTCATTGCGCCTATCCGGTGACGATGCAGCTTCGAGCATCGGCCAAGCCGGTGTTGGTATCGCCCTGAGTCCCTGGGCTGAAGCTGCTCTGGTTGATTGGATTCCAATCAGTAGCCGGATGTGCGCGGTCCGATTCGTTGCCTCGTTCAAAGATTCGATGTCATGCGGGACCAACAGTTGTCTATTCGTCATAGTTGCCTATGCACCCATAAACTCTAGCGATGATTCGATAAAAGACGACTTCTATCGCCAATTGAACGAGCTTCTTCGCCACAGAAGAAGCTCGGACACTGTTGTGCTGGCTAGGGATCTGAACACTCATTTTGGAAAATTATCCACTGATGAACTGCATTTGGGCGACCTTCACGGTGTACGCTCCCGTAATGATAACGTTGAGCGGTTACTTCATTTATGTGAAGATGCTCGCTTATTTCTTGCGAGCACTAATTTCCGATGCAGCACCCGCCGGAGAGTGACTTGCCTCCCACCTACCTCGACCAACTATGGTCGCAAATCGATCACATTGCGATAAGTTACCGATGGAGAGGCTGCGTCCAGAACTGTCGCTCGATTTGGAGCACCTGTGTAGCCACCGACCATGCACTTGTATGTGCTGACCTGCGGATGCGTTTTGACAGACGCCCACGACAACGAGGTGAACGCATTGACACCGGCCAACTGACGAAACCAGCTGTTCTGAATGCCTATCAAAGTACGCTGTCATACGAGTTGGATAAACGCTCACTGGATGCAATTGATGGTCACTGGTTTAATACTCACCAGAACTTAACAGCAGCTGGCAAATCCTCATGTGGTAGGTCTAATCGCCAACATGGACATTGGGTCGCTTTTCAGTCTCTGGAACTTATCGACGCTCGCCGGCATGTTCGGGCTGGAAGCGAACACAATGAAACTCGCAAACAGCTGCGGGTAAAACTCCGTGCTAGCCTGAAGAGAGACCGCGAATCCTTATGGTCTCATCGTGCATCAGAGATTGAAATGGCTGCTGCCGTTGGTAACGATCCTAAGTTAATCCGGCTAATAAGGGCAACGGGCAGCAGAAGACCTGGTGTCAGTGAAACAACTTGTGAGGAGAGTGGACAGCCTATGCATAATTTGTTAAAACGTTTAGAGCTTTGGACTGAGCACTTTGAAAGGCAATTTAATTGGTCGGTATTTTTAGATTTCTCGCCGGTCACTGATCGCCCCGCTCCCTTGGCTGTCCCTTTGGATCCACTCTCTCGCTCAGAAGTCGAAAGTGAGATTGCGCTGTTGAAGACAAATAAAGCCACGGGACCTGATTGATGATCTTTCTCCAGCCCTCTTCAAATTCGTGGGACCTGCTCTTGTGGATGATTTATACAAATTATTAGTGAATTTGTGGGAGCAGGAAAATGTCCCAACCGCCTGCAGCCGCTCCGTCACAGTCCCAATTTTCAAGGGAAGCTTACGCTCGGAATGCGATAGCCATAGAGGAATAAGCCTGATCTCCATCGCTTCCAAATTGCTTGCCTCTGTCATCCTTCACAAACTGGCTGGCACTCGTGAAAACCATATTCGTGAAGAGCAAGCCGGGTTTCGTAGCGGTTGTGACTGCATCGGCCACACCTTCACTTTGCGTCAGTTGTTGGAGCACCGTCACACATATTGGCGGCCCACAATTGTCGTGTTCCTCGATATCAGAGGTGCATTGGATTCGGTGGATAGACATGCATTTTGGGACTGTATACTCAGGAAAGGTGTACCTGAGAAATATGTGAATATTATCCGAGCATTATATGTGCGTAGCTCAGGCAGAGTGAGGCCTTACGGTAAGCTGTCGTCGCCCTTTTATATTTCCAAGAGTGTGAGACAAGTATGCCCACTGTCACCTTTTCTCTTCAACTTCGCTATTGACGAAGTCAAGGAAATCGCGTTCACAGGACACGACTTAGAAGGTGTGGATCTGCTCCCAGGAGAACGACATCTTGACTTAGAGTATGCTGATGATATTGCCCTAATCTGTGACAGCTCACAAACGTGTCAAGCGGCACTGGACAGATTAGCACTGGCTGTCAGCAGCTTCAGGCTTTGCTTCACACCATCGAAGTGCAAAGCATTCCTCCAAGATAGGTCTGGACCGCCTCCTGCGCTGATCCTTGGTGGGGATCAGCTGGAAGTCGTTCAAAAATTCAACTGGCTGGGAAGTTGGAGCAGCGCCCGTGGGATTGAAGATGAGATCACGAACCGTATAGCGAAAGCTCGAAGTGCTTTTGCTAACCTTCGCCAATTATGGTGCCGGCCCGACATCACA